CATGCTCTGCGGGGGTGTTATACTCGTCCAGTGGAAGACCGCAGAGACCACTAAAGTTCAGGTAATGTTTGGATAACTAAGATACAGGTGGTATTTAATATACATGGCCCATGTCAATTTTTTTTTGTTTACAGATTCAGCAAAACCCTCTTCTTGGATTCATTGCCATCGCCATTGCAGTCTTTTGCTCTGGATTTGCAGGTAAAATTAACCCTGGATTCTGTGGAAATGACTGGTAGTGATTTCAGCTTTTTGCCCCTATATCAATTTAACTGCTACACATAAGATGGATAAACTGGTCAAAAAATTAAGGGAACATGTAAATCACACATAGGATCTTGCTGAATTAATTCAGGTAGAAAACCTACTAAAGTACATTGTATAATTTGATATAACAGCGCTCAGTTGAAACCATGCTCTTGAGAATGTGCTGGGGGAGACTGCACATATGGATGTGCCATCTTGTAGTAACAAGACTACCATTGCAGCCTGATTAGGCTGCAGGTACCGCCTCATGCAACCAGTAGTGACAAGGACATAGGCAAAACAAAACCTGAGATGAATCTCTCAGGAAGGAGAGAGCATCTGTCTGTGGCCACCACATGTAAAACCATTTCCTTTTTGAGGGTTGTCTTGCTTTTGCCTCTCCGTTGCACCTGTTGTCACTTTATTAGTACCAAAATCAGGTGAAACATTTCAGCATCCTAAATGGACAGATTGATATCCCTGACGTTTAACTGACTTGGTGTTGTACTGTGATGATTATGTGTTCCCTTAATTTTTTTTAGCAGTTTACTTTTCAGTATTTAAACAAACCCTGGCACAGTATTCACTACCCAAGTAAACGTGTGATGTGCTTGGTGCCAGGTATTGAACGTTGATACTTTTATGGCATCCAGTGAATTACTTCCATACCACTGAGCATCAAAAAATACTTTTCTACTTTTTATTGATGTTAATGTTAACTGAGCTTAAGGTTGTGGTAGAAAGGTTTACTTTTTATATGAATGGAATTAATGAAATAAATCAACTTTTTGATGATATTCTAATTTTATGACCAGCACCTGTATATATATATATTTTTTTTTTTTTTAAGATATGCATAATAACATATTTGAATATTTACTTGTGCCTCACACTTTTGTGTCTGTCTTCTGATTGAGGTGTGTACTTTGAGAAAGTGTTAAAGAGTTCGGACACGTCTCTGTGGGTGAGGAACATCCAGATGTACCTATCCGGCATCGTGGTCACCCTGATCGGTGTTTACATGAATGATTCTGAAGAAATCCTGGAAAAAGGCTTCTTTTTTGGTTATACACCATTGGTGTGCTTTGTTGTATGTAAGTACAACTAAACCTGAGGAGGATTTCTATTGGACTTTTTCCCACTGTATTTTAGCTGACATTGCTCTCTTTGTGCCACCAGTCCTGGCCAGCGTTGGAGGTCTGTACACGTCAGTGGTGGTGAAATACACAGACAACATCATGAAGGGCTTCTCTGCTGCTGCCGCCATTGTCGTCTCAACTGTGGCATCCGTTATCTTGTTTGGACTACAGATAAGTAAGTTCCCCATCCATATGTTATTGTTTAACTAGATGTTTTCACAGTGCAGCTGGTTCATCAGGAGAGGGTGTGTCTTGTGTTTGCACATTTTGTATGAAAGACAATGGCCTTCTGTGATCAATGTTAATCTAAAGTAAGTTCAACACTTCCACCTTACCATCTGTGTTTTTGGTGAGATTGTCAAATGTATAAACTCAATTATATGTTTATTATTGAGCTCATAGTTAAAGGTGGTGTTGTACTGGACTACGTTATATTCAGAGGCGTTCCTAATATTCGGACCCTTATGTATGTCAATGGGCAGGACAAAAATATACAGACACCTCTGTATATAATATAATGCACATTTAGGTGGTCATAATGTTATGCCTGATCGGTGTATATCTACAAAGGCTACAAAGAATAATGTAATGTGGTACATCTGTGATCATAAATTGATACTTTGCATTTAAATTTTATCAAGGAAATTCTTCTGTAAATCAAGTTGCTTATACAAACAACTTCTATGCAGGAAACATTTTCCAGGACATGTAAAATAATTTCTTCTCCTGTTCATGTCCTGATTTGATACATACACTTGTGGAATAGTTAATCAATTCCTTCAAAATTTGTAACTTTAAAAAAAAAAAAAATTTATAAGCGTCTCATTTTACTGTTCTTTCCTTCTTGTGTAGCAATCACATTTGCCTCTGGAGCCATCCTTGTGTGTGTTTCCATCTACCTGTATGGACTTCCAAAGACGGACACGTCCAAGCTGAGCCAGCAAGGCACAGAGAAGGAATTCATAAGGAAACCGAGCACGGTGTGAGTCACTGAACTGCAGTGGAGAAATCTCTCTTGCTGGTGGACAGGTTCTGTTTTGGGGCCACCTTTTCTGGGGATGTAACAGAGCTCCCCACTGAAGGGATTATTTTTTTTTATGATCTCTCAGGTGGGTTGACACTGTTCAGGTCATCTCACGGATGGGAGCTTTTGTGCCACTTTAACATAGAACTCCTCTTTCAATCCAGCCTAGTACCACCCACATGGCACTGGTGCCAGAATTATGAGCTCTAGATAAATTGAAGAAACGTTTGTTGAAAGCTGATGGGGGTGAAGCAGCGATAGCTAGTAAGAAGACTTGTTACTCTTATTTTGATGCCCCCTCCCCATTGTACACAGTATTAACTCCTTCCAATGAAGTATTTTTTAAAATGTTCAGTAATTCTTGTCTTGTCACATTGTTTTTGAAAGTAATTTTATTAAAACTTGTTTAATCCTCCATTGTTACTGTAGACAGCATCTGCAGTGGTGCATGAACTTTAAAGCTTGATAAAAATATACTTTGCCAAGTTTCACATTTTATCAACCGGCGTGATGCCGAGGATCCTCATCCCGTTGGCCAGGACTGAGCAGGCTCCGCTGAACAGTCGTAACCTTGCCTGATGACATTTAGCAAAAGAGAAAACAATTTTAAACAATGCAGTTTTTGCAAGCAGTTCACAACAAGCTATGGCAGCGCACTGCATTCACCATCCTGCTCTTGTAATTATTACAGCAGTCCCGAATGGCCAATTTTGGGCTCTGGTTGACATTGTGCTGCAGCTGAAAGTATCTCTTTGCCCATTGGGCAATACTTTGGGTTAAAAACCAAAAAGATATGTAATATTTATTGTTAGCAGATAGTTTTATCACTCTGGTGGAGTGACGGAGAATCACTTAGCCCCAGCTCTGTGACTCAAGTATTACATACATGAATCACAGAGCTGAACTGCAGTGAGCATTTGAAATTGAAACTTGCTGAATGTTTTTGTTTCATAACACTCACCCAAAAACTGGAGGGTTTTTTTTTTAAACACACCCTCTTCTAATGATACAGATTTTTTGAAGGATATACTTTGCTTTGCTGAAAAGTGAAGATGGCAATGTCTGTCAAAAAATTGACCTTTTTTTCCCCCTGAGCTGTAGCTGATGATTTTTGATTCCGTATTGTTTTGGATGGATGGTACAGGGTCAATTTCAAATGCTCATGGTGGCTCAGCCCTGTGGCTCTCACAGTTCTGGAACAAGGAAATACTCAGTTCACTAATTATTCAGTGGTGTTAGAGTCATGCCTCTTTACCTCATAAACAATCTTTGACTAACAACAGACAGCATGCTGTCTGTTTTGGAACAGTAAGTACACCAAATTAGCTATTAACCGTTCATTTTGCTACAGTATTGTTCAAAATAATAGCAGTACAATGTGACTAACCAGAATAATCCAGGTTTTTAGTATATTTTTTATTGCTACATGGCAAACAAGACCCAGCATTCATGATATGCACGCTCTTAAGGCTGTGCAATTGGGCAATTAGTTGAAATTGCCCAATTATAAAAAACTGTGGTCATACAACTAAATATTAGTTTAGTGATTCACAGGATTGCTAAATCCTAGAAACAAAAACGTTTGTACAGTCAACGGCAGACACTGCTATTTTTTTGAACACACCCCTTTCAACTAATTGCCCAATTGCACAGCCTTAAGAGCGTGCATATCATGAATGCTGGGTCTTGTTTGCCATGTAGCAATAAAAAATATACTAAAAACCTGGATTATTCTGGTTAGTCACATTGTACTGCTATTATTTTGAACAATACTGTATGTAGGCATCTGTTGGATGTGCTGACATCTTAAAACCCCAATGTTTCTCAAGCAGGTTCTGAAGCTTCCCAACTCCTGCTATATGTGCATAGTCAGTTGCACTGTAGGCGGCAAATTTGAGGCCTGTTTTTACCTTGTTTGTTTACATTTTGGAATGCTAATAAGTATGCCAGATTAGCTATTAAGTGCTCACTTTTGTAATGCACTACTGTAATCTCAACTGTCTCTGAATTATTTAGATTCTGCAGCATTCCAACCCCCGCATAACTACGAGAAAAGCAGATACCAATATCTGAACCTCGAAACTACAATTTAGCATCTGTATTCAGACCTTTTCCTCCTAATTAGAAGTAACTACATTAAAGTATAATTGTTTTTTAATCTTGCTGTATTTCCCATGACAGTGGGTACAGCGACTCTAGCTAGTGCTAATTTTGGTACAACTGCCTTCTTTGTAGAGATTCAGGCAAATAAAGTCGTTAAGTGGTGTAAGGTTAGCCTCAGAGCTTAGAATGAACAAGATTTCAGTCAAATCATTTCTCATACTTATCTCTGCATCAGAAGAAAAGGACAATACATTGATTTTGTATTGCATGAAAGCATCTCCGACAATTTTTACAAAAAAAAAAGCCAAATAACCAAAGAGGTGTCTTAATTCAACACAAAGTCAGTGGAGAGAAAATCGTTTCCCCCCGATGTGGGCGTGTCTTTATAAACTGATCCAGATTTATATTCCTATGCCCTTAACTGTAACGGCTATCCTGGACCAGCAGCCCAAATTTCCTATCTGCCTTCTTTATGATAGGCGTGAAAAACGATTTACCTGAAATCACGTTTATTCTGAGTACTCTGAGGCTAACCATTTGCCCCTGGTGGCGCTGGTTAACGTGACTTTTCATTTCCCCGAATCTCTACAACGGAGGCAGTGGGAGTGAAATTAGCACCTTAGTGTCACCTTAGGTGAAATAACAGGAAAAAAAACCCCCAAAGTTCTCCTTTAAGATGCCAATTCTTCTCTGCTATGAAAGTTATTAATAATTTTATACTGAAATTTGGAAATTATTTCTAAAATAGTGCAGTTTTAAAGCCATTGTTAGCATGGTCTTAAACTCCAAAAACATAGTAAAATTAATGCCTCTGTCTGTACAAACAGTTGGCACCAGATTTGTCCAACTACAGCTAACTAAATTAATTCTGTGAGCTTTGTGCTGGAAGAAGAGCACTTAGTTTTGTGCCACAGCAAAGTACTGTATACCAAAATGCAATCCAAACCTGTGGCAGAAAACGTTTGTCACCACAGAGGCTTAATGGGGCAACCAGTGTGTCTGTGTATATAATAAACTTATTTATTAATTACTGATACTATTTTTACCTGTTTGCATAATGTTGCATGGTGATGAATTTAAAAGGAAAGGAGGTTTGGTTTCTACCTGTGCAACATCCTGAGGACTTCCTTTAACTGGCAGCTCTCTGTGTGCTATTGCAATCAAGTGGCTGAAAGAGAGTAAAGAAGAAAACGGATGCACCTGAGTACACAGTTAAATTACCACCCCTGCAGCCATGTTCAGAAGCTGCCTATTGTGAGGCAGGTAAACACTGAGTCATCAGCACTAAATATCTTGTTCCTTACCACAGTTTCAATAAAAAGTTGACTAGATGTTTCGGCTGCAGATCCTGGGCGGAGTGGTACAACGCCTCATCGTAGCTATAAACCCAATAGAGGAAGTTATTTATTTAATGTCAAGCAAATACTATTACAGAAAGACTGACTCTCGCTATCTTGTACTTTACATAATGCAGGATGAAGCACTTTGCTTACCGAAGGAGGTGCTGCAGGGTGGCAATACTGGTCTGCTCAATTAGCAGGGATGGGTCAAATGTAGCTGCTTCCACACCTTCATTCCTTTGAATTAAACTGCAGGGACAGCATTACAATTAGGATGAATCTCGTCTAAGCCATATTTCTCTTGTCTGTTCCTAGCCAACCCTTGAGCTCTGTCACTTGTTGACGTTAAATGTCATATGAACGCTGGCTGTCAACGATGCCAAACAAGGAAAGGATTACATTTAGCCTTATTCCTGGGCCAGGATCACTAACAATCACCAAATAGACTATTCTACAAAACTAACAATTTATTGATAAGTTTGATAATTTGATAAGCATCTTGAATTTGTTTTATTTTCTAATAATTATGAGATAATGCAGGGATTTCAACGCTTCAGAACTTGCTTGAAAATGATTGGGTTTTAAGGAATTCTTTACCCTTGATGTATCAAAATACATCAGTGATGGTTGTCGGTGCATCCAGTAGCACAAAATGAACTGTTAATAGCCAAATGATTAATCAACCTATGAATCATTTATGAAGCAAAATCAACTATTCTCTGGTTCTAGCTTCTCCAGTGTGAGGATTTGCTGCTTTTCTAAGTTTTATGTGACTGTAAAGGGAATATCTTTGGCTTACAACAAAACCATAAGAATTCCTGTTAACACATGGCACCATTCTCAGCATCAGCCGAATACAGACCTGCACAGTCGGGCATGTGTGTACTGGAGGAAGACGCCCGTGTCACCCTGAGCCTGCAGCATCCTGTCCCAGTCAAACTTGTAGTCTGACCGCAGGGGACCTTTGAAATCCTGAAACAAAGCCAATGGAAAGCATTAAATGAAAAATACATTTTGCAGACTTGCCAAGAAATGAAATGGTTAGTAGAGGATCTGACTAAACAGCAGAGCCTGGAAGTCAGATTTAAAAGTGTCATTTAATTCTAGTAATGTACCTGGACTAATAGTGCACTAATTCCCACTTTCTCTGCGGTGCCCCCTGGGTCGTCCATTTCCTTTGTTGCTGTGGAAAGATGTTATTCATTACCACCAGGTGCCTTCATTACTATCATCGTACATACAGTAATTGCTGCATTAAAGAATGGGTGTTGCTGATTACTAAGAAAATGAATGATATTGATAAAATATTTCATGTAGCGCACATGAAAAAGTACTGCCACAGTATTTGAATTGCACGTACCAGTTAATGAGAACTGGGACATTGCGTGCCAGGGTAAATTCTTGTATTGATGATACATGCTAAAAGGATTTTCGGCCCTGAGCCATGTGCGCTCTTTGTTAGCAGATAACCACGTAATGTGCTACTGGGTGTTACTTTTTGATTGGCTCATGTTGTGGAGCACGCTGGCCCGAGCTTCGTCTAGCACGTCCTCCAGAAACACCACCTCACCGGTCCGGGTCTTCATACCCTGCACCAGGCCAAAGGGCACGTGCTGACACCTGCAACCACCAATTACATGCTTCAGTCAAGACATGGACATTGCGTGCCAAGTTTTTCCGACGCAAACACTGCATTTCCTGACTCACAAAATGGCGTCGGTTTGGAAAATACCATTATTTCTAAGTTAGGGGGGTTCTGGCTGGATAGAAACAGGTTTACATTGGTGCTGGCCAGAAACCCCTCTCCCCCTATGGTGCGGTCTTTTCGACTGCCATTGGTCCACGATGCTGTCAATAAGGTCACAAACTCGACACCAAGAGTAACCAAATACACCGTGTGGGTGCGGAGATATACACATTTTATTTCGGGGAGGCGCCGTCGATTTAAATCCCCAAAACAGGCTGCGGGCTTATATTATAAAACATCTGTAATATGTATATATGATAAAATAACACAAAAATAAAGTAAATAAGTGAATGCACTGGGTTACATTCCAGCACTGGGTTACATTCCAGCACTGACTCTTCAGTGGGTTGAGTGCTGCTTTCATAATGCACCGCTAAATTTAAGTGACTCCACAAACCTCAAAAGGCAGCTATGAATAATAAACCTGTATACGTCATGGGTGTGTTAGACTTTCTTACTACCTGTCAGCCCAAGAATGTCCCATAGCGAGCAGGATCTGGAACAACTGATAGAAGTGATTTGCTTGACTTTTATCTGTCTGAAGAATAAAAACAAGTTGGGTAATGGTTGTGCAACGCTAAAGCAATAAATAGAGTGTTAAAGGAAACAAACGTATTTAAAGACTGGTGGTAAAATTCTGGAACAACATTTGAACAGAACAGTGAGACAAACATCTTTGACTCTGATTTTTTTTTTATGATTTACTGGGTTCACACATAAACAGAGAGAAGAGTTTAAGCAGATAAACCAGGATGCCAGGCCTCATGTCATCCTCCCATTCAAATCAGTGATTTTCATTTTGTAGTTAAACCAATTAAAAACAAAATGCATTTGTGTGTTTAGGTGGCAAAATGTTACTCAAAACAGTGTGCATGTTTGTTTCCTGTGCCGAGTTGGCATGCACTGCAAAAATGGAGACATGCACTTGATGAACTTTCATCTGGGTGCACCCACAGGGCTTAACAAAACGGAATCAAAAAAGGTGTCACTCCAGTGGTAATAAAAACCTGTCATGTCTCACTGGGATAATTTTAATTACAACTAATCGACTGACAAATCAGTCAGTGTGAATCATTGACTGGAGCCTAATGGAGGGCTCACTGCAAATCTAAACACCATTTAATTAAAAATCCAAGTCTAATTAAGTTGTTTCTTATATACAATAACAAGAAGTGTCTAATTGTTTCAGCTCTACAAATGAGTGCAGTGTTCACAACCATTATAAATCTAATGAAAAGCTAAGCATAAAACCATTAAACTCCATCTACTCATCACCTATGAGTACAGCGAAATGTGCCTTTCCCATGTCTGTTGCTGCTGTGTGTCATGTAGATTAGTGGTTTGTATTGTTGTGTCTTGCCCCAACTGTTAAATCATGTTTTTGAAGGACAGTAATGTAACTCTACAAGTTAACAGTGGTGAGCGTGAGTGTTCTTACCACATAAATCATCTCATCAAAATTGTACTTCTCCTTTCGGTCAATAGCTGCAGCGATATCCCTTTAAAGCAGAAAATGCATAATAAGCTGTTACTACCACAAGATTAATATTTAAAATTTTTAATAACCTTCTCATTGCATAGATGACAGCACAGCTGACTGTTGAGACCAGTGTTTTCAGAACTTTTTCCTCTCACAATGAGCTGGCTGACAATTTCACTGACACTGCATAAAGTCTGGCCATGAACTGTGTCAGTAGCTTTGTCAACACAGTTGTGAACAGGCTCGTCTTACTTAATCATTCCTGCAAGGTGATGTACAGAGTTGTGCCATCGCTGCGGAGCACAGTGCATACGCTGCTCATGTCTCCATCAGCGGAGACATCCACTACACCAGTCCCCCTGCTGGGAATAGACATTCCCATGAAATCCAGTCAATGCAGGCTCAGTTTCTGCAGTAACATTTTCTTGATCGATCTGTATTCAGTAGAAAAAGATCCATAGGCTCATCACAATGCATGAAGGACAGTGTGATTGTGGGCTGATTCTGCCCCCTGGTGGTAGGTAGCCTGACCTTTCATGCTGATCAGATGAAGCTGGGTTTGGAGGAGCAGTGGTTAGAGAATCAGAACATACAAGAATGGAGCCTGCTGAGGAATGTTAATATAACAGTATATAAAGGATGTGGATAATAAAATGGATATGAGCTGCAGGCTTTAGAGTGGTGACAGCACTGTTTTTCCTAAACAATATTCACTCTCTTGTAGCTCTGTCTTTGGTCTCTACTAACTCCAGATGGCAAATATCTTGCTCTTTAGCTGCTAAATGCTCCACTATGTTCACCAGCTAGTTGCTAACTGTGTGTCTGTTGCTGCTGCGGGAAACAACACTAGGAGAACAGCGAGAGTGAATCAAATCAGCTGAAACTTGCTATAAAAGTCCATAAAACCAAGTGGAGCTGCAGTTAAGGTGATAAACCTCCAAAGGGTCATCACTAAGACCCAACACCATCTCCTCTCACACATTGATACGTTATTATATTGATCATAGTCATCTTTGTCCATATTCTTTACTTATGTCTGTCACACCAGTAAGTCATCAAAGAGAGTCACAGACTGTCACTTACTCAGAGGTTTTCAACAGGCCTTGGCTCTGCAGCTGCTGCACCACCTCCTGGGCTTGATCCTGGTGAAAGGACTCCCCAGAGTAAATATCGAAGTGGACCCCTAGCCGCTGGAGAGAATTTAAATCAGTCTCCATCAGTGATGCCTGAAATGCTGCTGACATTTTCTGTTCTCACATCGTTTGTATTTTCGAGTTTTAAGTTTTTGTCATGCTGTCTGACTCGTCGTACCTTGTAAACACGACGATACTCGTCCACTGTGATCTCTCTGAACTGTTGCCATAATGACACAGCCTGGCTCTCACGGCGCTCCAGCTGTCTAAAGAAATCTCTGGCTGCCTGCTTCGTATCCTCATTGTGCTCTGCTTCCTTGTTCACTTGAACATAAACCTGCAAGATAAAAACATATCACTTACAGACAAAATCCGGCCACAGTAATGTAGCATGGCCTGGTCTTCAGACTGTAAACTGACACCACTCAATTTCTCAACTCTTTAAAAAAACAAATCACTAAATAAAATTGTTAATGGTGGGAGGGAGGAAACAATTAACACTTGTGAAAATATCAATTCAACCTGTAAAAATGACAGACACTATGGCTGATTAGGGTCAGAGCATGGCTGTCTGAATTGTACAAACTCACCTCAAACAAATGCTGTAAGGGATTCTGTTTCAGTTTCTCCTGACATCCAAACTGGCCAAACCCAGCACCTAGCAAACCTGCAAGCCAAGAAGGAAAACTGGTTTTGTCAATAACATCTGTAGCATTTGGGAATTTATGAAGCTTGAAGACACCTGTTGAATATTTTACACATTATTTACTTACCAAACTGCATACCCCAGTCTCCGAGATAGTTCATCCGAATAACACGATTTCCAAGAGACTGCTTTAGGTTAGCAATGAAATTACCTGGAGACAAGAGTTGAGCAGCAGACTGACTTTACTGTCACTACTCAAAATGTACATTTTAAACTGGATTTTATGGCTAATCTCGATATTGATGTCAGAGTTCAAAATGTCTGCTAATGGTACATTAGCCAATATTAATATTCTTAAAACATCCCTTAATAAACATTAATTGATATGGTCCCCTTGAATTTTTTTTTTAACAATTACAACCAAGAAATGTATAAATCCCAGATACTTTAAAGTTGAAAAATAAATCTGTCACTTGTTTTGCTCCAGTTCCTAAATTAACTTAAGCCAAAACTCACCAATAATTGTAGACCGCAAGTGTCCAGCATGGAATTTTTTGGCAATATTTGGAGAGCTAAAACATTCAAACACAATAATTCTGTCTGTCCATATATTTATAAGCAGAAGACACAGGAAGTGTTAGATAACAAGATAAAGAAACATACCTGTACTCCACCAATGTTGTCCCTCTCTTGAAAGTATCAAAAAGTTCACTATTCAACCCAAATTTCTCACCCTTCCCCTTTTCAAATGGCTCCAACAATTTCTAGTGGACATACAGTAGGTACTATTAACACCGTAGCTGCAGTCTAAACTTCATCACTGCAAAAGACAAAACTCACAAATCTTTTATTTTTCCTACCACTGGGGAAAGCACACACACTCACAAACCTGGACAAGCAGCTTGCGATTAACTTTAAAAGTGATCAATCCACAGTCAGCAGAGATGTCTTCCACCACACTGTCTGGCTTCAACTGAAACACAAAGTGTGGTTTACAAGTTTAAAACAATGCTTTATATATGGGTCAACTTTACAAGCTTGTCTTCTGATCAGTTCAGGATTATGTGAACCTTTGGAGTGCATCTGCAAAATTACATTGTGTAGATGAAAAAGTGGACACTGGAGCTGAAATACTCAAAGAGTTGGAATGCTGCTCAAAATTTTTTTTTAAATAAATAAATTGAAGACCTCGAACTTTGGGAAACATCAGAGCACCTATGTGTGATTACCAAACACCTCATTCCAAAAACATGGCCATTAATAGGCTGCTGTAACAGCGTCTTATATGGGAAGACTTGGGCCTAGCTTGCAATCAGTCTTGCAGCAAGTCATCACAAAGGAGCTGGATGCAGTTAAGCTCTGGGCTCTGAGTAGACCAAAACATGTGTGTGTAGGCACTGCCATGTTCAAACAGGAAATCTTTTCTTCAAACTGTTGCTATGAAGTCAGAAGCACAGTATGATATAAAATATGGTAGGCTAATACTGTAGCATTAATATGTCCTGAATTAGAGCACAGGGACCCATAGTCCAACCCCGAAGACACGAACCAGGAACAAAAGCACACACATACAGTAGTGTAAGAAAAGAAAAGGGTTGGTTGATGTGATGACAGATAAAGCTGTGCAAACAAATGAGCTCTCCTGTTGTCTTTGTTTCATGCTTCCTCCATGACGAACCTTACCCGAGAGGCCAAGTCTTGTGCCTGCAGCTGAATGTCTCCACTGGGTGGTAAAATCCCATTGCTCCGTAATGTGCCAACTGACAGTTTGAAGTCTGCAGTTTGTCTGAAAGATACATAGTCAGGCCTCTTTAACAAACAGGGGAGAGGACAGATACCAGTGGAGCATATGACAGATTAATTTAAACACAAACATACTCAACTCTTTCTTAAATACTCGAACTGTTGACAGGGCTGGTATAAAGACATCCTCAGGTTGCTGCAGCGTCCTACTTAACTAGACAACACACACAAGTTAAAGATTAAGGACAGATTAAATATGGTTCTGTTTGACTTGCTCAAGGGTCATAGCATGTTAGCATTAGCATACAGTTGCAGTTCATTTTCCAGACTTTCAGCTTTATTACCTTCGCTGCAATACTTCTTCGAAAGAAACAAGCCATACCTCCTAAACGTGTAACTACAAGACAACTATAAACTTTAAGAAAAATCAGATAAATGTATCCATGATTCGTTCACATTGGCATAACTAACGTGCTTCCTTCTTAGCCGAACAGCTTCCTTTCAGCTCGTCCAACCACAAGCTCACTTGACAACAACGTCATCTAATAGAAAAGGTTGGTTCGATTATTTTCTCTGCTGCTCCCGGCAGTGATCACCTGAAAGCAATTCAAACCTCAATCACTTTTCTGTAATATTAAATATTCATGTATAAAGAACGGCTTTAGCTATGATTTATTAGGGGTTTAAAAAAAACCCCAAACAACAAACGATGTTCACTGTGTGGATGTAGTTTGATCGAATTTCAATGTCAATTGCGTTCCCTTGACAACAAAGGCAACGGTCATGCGATTCCAAATGTAATGCTGATAAATTCTGCTTGGTGCAAAGAAATAATCCCTGCCCCCTTAATAAAACAAACATCGTTTTAAAATCCCAATTTTACATATACGTATATACTCAAGAGATTTGAGAGCTACAAAATGTATAACCAGCAAACCACTACAAGAAGACAAAAAGTAAAAAGACAAATGCATTCAGGTATTTTAGCTACAAAAATATTCAACTGATTAATTTTCCTAATATTGACACTTAAGACTATCCAGTCACTTGCCTGCCCTACTGTGAAGTAGCAGACTTTGGAGAAGCAAACCATTTTCTACAGAGCAGTTCCAATGATAATTAGTCTCAAATGTATTGCAAATAACAAAAAACAATAATGGTGTGCGATACCGCAAAATTTGGTATCGATCCAATACCAAGTAAATACAGGGCCAGTATTGACGATACCGATACTTTTTCCTTTTACTTTTCAGTAAAATAATAATTAAAATAATTAATTTAGATGTATTTCAGCTGGCTGAATATATTCTATGACTGGGGGAGGGCAAAGTGAACATGAAGGAACTGAGAGGAGAGTAGTGATGTGCAATTGAAGTGATGAGCAGGTATTGAACCATTTCAGGTATGCTGGTTTGGTGTTTTTGGCCAGCACCAATGTAAGCCTGTTTCTATCCAGCCAGAACCCCCCTAACTTGGAAATAATGGTATTTTCCAAACAGACGCCATCTTTTGAGTCAGGAAATGTAGTTTTTGCGTCGGAAAAACGTATTTTTCCTCATAAAAACATCAAAGGTAAGATAAGTGGACCTGAGATGTTGCTTTATTGCTTTTGCTGTGTTTATCGTGTGGAAAAATGGTTTATATGGCGTTGTAGCCGAGGTTTCGCTGAACATTTTGATGTATACATTGTTGGGGGTCGGCTATCACAACTCGCGTAGCATTCCTGTATTTTCCGTTCAGCCCCAGGGTCCCCTTTGAAGGGGACCTTCGGTTCGAAAAGGTTCTAGAGACCAGGGTTTCCAAATAAATAAATAAATAAATAAATAAAATAAAATAAAATAAAATTGTTGTGCATTTTAAGATGTCCGTTTGTCGTGTTTGAGCTCCAGAACTAAAGTCCACCTTCACAGCTCTAAGTTGGCAGCATAGATGCATGAAACACTTAATTAAACCTGCTGTTTGACTCAATCACTGCAAATTGAAGGAAACACAGCAAACAAACATTTGTGTAAACACTTTATTCACACTTCATTTTTCTTAAATCAAAGCCCCTTTATACATACAGCAAATAAAATCATGAAATTCTGGAACAATGAACAAAAGTTAAGCAAAAAAATAAAAAAATACAGTGTATACAAATTTATAGCAGTGATGGCCAATAGTCAAAAACAATGCTTTAAAAGCCAATAAGCTTGTTCCTGGAATCCAGTCTGAAGGCGGCCTCCATTTGTCTGCTCATCAACATCCAGTCCCCTTCTTCAAAATGTACCAATAGAAATGCTGCACAACTAACATCCTCTCGTTGAAATAGCCAAATCTGACAATAAAATCAAATAAAGGCAAAAGGTCAAGTGTGTGGTCACAGTTCACCTTTTACAAAGGCATCAGAACAAAGTCCAATAAACATTGACACGGCAGTGAAGAGGCCACTGGAAAAGTCACAGAGCCCAGGAACATGTCGGAGGCAGGAAGAGCTCCTCACTCTGGTAAACACAGCAAATGTGGATGCCACTAACTGATGCCTGAGGCAGCAAGTCCACATAGAGGAGATATGGCACAGCTAAGAACAGTCCAACATGACTGATTTAGTCCCGGGAGTAATTATCCGTAAATGGTATTCCCTGACACTCAGGATACATCTGTGGAGGGAACCAAGGAATGAGTTATATCAACAGTAATAGCATTAAAAGATGATGAGTAACAAACAACGTGTGAATTTGCACCTCTCTCTCTTCTAATATTTTCCTGATTGCTTGAAGTCCTTCTAAAAAAAGACTCTCCACCTCCTCTACCATTAAGCAAGCTCAATGTAACTAAAGCTCAGGCGTGCCTCTTTCTGAACGATCCCATTTCAAAACAAAGCTTGGTAAATATAAGTTCTACTCATGTCAAATGGAATAAACTCACCTGACATCTGTGTCAGATTTAACTAAACTCTGGTATATTCTGACCACTGACAACATAAAGCCACGGAGACAAGCTTTATACAGACTGAAAATGAACAATGTTTGACAGGAATAAATATACTCACAGCTAGCAGGCTGCTCTCCAAACCTTCGCATCAGCTGATCATGTGTGAACTTGACGAATGCATCATATTGTTCTGTTGGAAGAATAAATATTTATTGGTACTTAATATGGGTTACTCACTACAAATTGTTTTCTATACCATTATTTAAAAATCACACCTGCAAGCTTTGTTGTCAGTATCTCCTCATATTCTTCACGGATTTTGTCTTCTCGCTCTTTCAGTAGTCTTTCACAGATCATCCCAACCTGTCTGAGAGAAAATAAAGGCTGCTCTTTCCTGGTGGGTGATGAGGCACCTGAGGACATACCTGTCAGGATAGTCAGAATCATAATTAATATAAAATAAATGGCTTTATAGATTGTAGACTACTAGGCTTGGTCAGTCACACAAATTTCACACTTCAGGTCAATACTGAAAAGGCAGATTTTGTTCTACTTGAACCGAGTTTGGAGGTTATGTTAACCAAATATTTTCCGTCAGACAGATGTTTTGTTAATAAGGACAGGGAAATCCAAAGGCTGTTTGTCATTTTGACAAAGGACAATCTCGTTATCTGGGAGCTGACAGCTCGCTGAAGAGCCATGGACTGGAGGCCACTCAGTGTGTCTGCGTCTACAGGTCACAGAAGGGTGTAGGAGGAGCACATGCAGCCGATTCCACCTGGGGAAGTGAGTGCTTCAGAATTGGGAAATCCCATGTTCAGAGAAACATCTAATCACTTCCCAAGAGAAATTTTCTCCAACTTCAAAACTGTGGCTGAAGTGGACCTGTAAAGTCCAGTCTCCAATGTGGCAGCACAGCACAGGTTCAACTTCCAGATCTAAATTATAACGGCCATGAGAAACCTAGTGACAGTCGCCTCTGCAGCTCACTAGGCTACAGCAGGTCAGCGTAGTTCAATTAAGTTAGCCTAACTTCATGTAAATGGGTTGTCCATATTTTAATTATCTAATTTTGTAAAATATCTGTGGTATGATTATTATATACACTGCATTCCTGAGGGTTGTGGTTGCAGACCCTTGTTTGATACAACAGCAGTTCAGTTCATTCTGAGATCAAATAGGAGCTTGATGGATTTGTAAAAACTACACAATATCCTTATTAAAATGTGTCATTGATACCTGTCAGGACAGATCCACTGTGAATGTTCTGCAGGTCCGCAGGACAGCAGCCATCTGCCTGCTGGAAAGCACTGTCCAAGTGTCGTCGTTTCTGCAGCCTCTTGTACTCCTGTTTGATGTTGTGTAAAATTTGTTCTGAAACACAGAAAAACGTTTGCTTCATTATGTAACTGATATGTTCAGACAGATGGTGAAATTGTATGGAGACAAAGATGTTGCACAGTTCACACATCTGAATATTTGTTGCCTTGCTGATTTATCAATGCACATGACGACTTTATTCATTCACCAAGTCAATCTGTCATGCAGTGAGCACCAAATTCTGCAAACAGCACAACATCCATCCATTATTTACCCTACAGCAACGTTTCCTCTTATTTCCACACTTCCCCAAACCGGCAAATACTACAGAAATGAAAGAGCCATACACACAAATGGGCAACAAAGAATCACATCAACGACGATATGTAATAATGGACAGGCAGCACAACAACACTCGTTTAACTTGGCACATCGCGTGTGGAGTTGTCGACCGACGGGACTGATACAGGTACACACAGGTTAAAAGGTAACGTAGCTCAGTTTATATTCAGGACTGGTTTTAACACTCTTGAACTGGGGTTACGTTTACATGTGACATGTGGTATTAAAGTTCTACCTGTGGTGAGTCTTGTCGACACTTCACCGAAAGGCGAGGGCTCCATACGTAGATACTTCTGTGGTGAAGAGACCGGAGACATGATGGGGGCGCACCTCCTCCTTTTAGGGGAAGCCGGGCTCATGAGCGGATCGAACTCCAGAGTTCTTTTCAGTGTAGCTCCACAAGCCATCTCGCTGAATGTTTATAAAATTCTAGATCAGAAAATCCTAAATACCTCGTTTTCTGGGAATGTCGCTGACTTGGGCCCCTGTCCGGGCTGCTAATGCTAGCTAACCGTAGCTCGGTCGAACGACAGTAGCGATTCCGGGTTTCAGAAAAATAAGCACTTTGTTCCTTCCCCGTTGCCTTGTGTTGGCAAATGTCGTAGCCCTGAATTTAACCAATGTATACCGAAACAAAGTAAATTAAATTACATAAGTTAAACGTTGTATAAAAGCCAGATGATTAGAGATTTCCCCGCATAAGTCCTACTGCAACGGCTCAGAGTAGCTTACCAGTTTTTCTTTCGATATTGTGAATATGGGCATGCGCAAGAATATGCTCTCATACTGGTACTTGTAGTTTTTGGTGCCTCTCGCGCCTTTTATTATATAAGCTTGAACACTACATTTCCCAGAAATGCAGAAAATATCCTTTTTTTCAAAATTGTTTTGCTTGCTAACAAATCCCCCGAACCACAGAGAAGTTTTAGATTCACATAAACTAGCATAAAAATAGGAGGCTTTTTTGTATAATTATTCAAAGACTCAATAGTATTTTACAGTTTGTTTTAGACGAAAAAGAACAATTGCACTTTATACAAGAATTACTACATTTACGAAGATCTACTAGGATTTATTTGAGAAAATAACGTTACTGATTTGCCATATTAACTGTCTTCTAATATGATTAATATCAACAGGCCACAGGCGACTAGCTTGCTTAAATGCATCTATAAAGGAGAATTAAGCCGATATGAGATATTTAAGTGTTATTTTTCAGCAATACAGGATCAATCCCTTATTGTAAAACCATGGTCTTGAACTGAATTAAGAGTCAGATTTCTGATTCAGAAGAGATAATGCTGCCTGAGAAGGAATGTATTTAATATTAAATGTTAAACTGTAGCTAGGCTTTGAAAATGAATACTCAACCACCTCTGCACAAACAGTATTTTAAACAGAATAAAAATAAAGGTAGATGTATGAGCTACTAGTATTTCAATACTTGTTCTTGAGCAAAAAAAACCCAACTTATATCAATGATGTTAAACTACTTCACAAAACTGTACTTTTTGTCATTTTTGTTCAGTGTTGGACAAATCTATTAGGCAAAATGAATACTATGAATTTTGCATTAGTAATGGTGTTACACCTAGAAGTGTAAGTGCTATAGAAAACTCCTACAATGCCCCAAAGGTTGTAGTTACACATTACATGCAGCACTGATTCTACTACTACTACTGATTCAACATATTTATTGCAGTTTCATAAAGCCCATAGCAGTGTCTTCAGATTGTTTAGTCTGACCAACAGCCCATAGTCCCAAAGATTTTCAGTCTACAATCCCATAAAACAGTAAAGTAGCAAATGAAATGAGACCTTGAACTAGGCTAGGTTTGGTCATTTTTGCCTGAAAAGTGAAGTTAATGATTGAAAAAAAAATAAAATAAAATAAAAATACAGGCTGATTCATTTTCTGACTAGGTGTTGTTTTCCACTCTAATTGCTGCCTTTACCATATGCTAGAGTAAACCTGTAACTCTGTGCAGATTGCAGCATTTTGTGGTAAATGAACTAAATCTGTTCACATCTGTGTGGACAGATGATGAAATTTTCCTATCCCTCCAAGCCAAGCGATGAAATGAACAAAACAGGTGTTGCTGGTAAATGATGCTGAGGTCCATGTCTAATAAAGCTCTCTCTCCCAAGAAAGGCTCCCACTACTGACAATGCCAGATCGTCCACATGGGGGCACTAACGCACCACTGACGGACTGGGTTGTCATCAGCTCATGGCTTGGCTTCTGATGTCAGGATCTGTTCCTCTTGAATCAGTTATTGTTGGAAGAATTAAGCACATTGTGCCGTGGCCTCCTGTTTCCATCATCAAATGATCAGCCAAATAACTGTAGGCGAAATGACAATCAGCTGCAACTTTATTCAAAAGTTTGAAAACAGCAATACTAAAAACACTTGACTGATTGTGATTTTAACGTCATAGATTCCTTGTTATGCCACCACTGTACAGAAGCCACTTGACAGCTGACATTTTGATCTTCACTACTCAATAATACAAGAGGCAGCAAAGCATATTGATAAACAGTAGTCTGGATAACTTTACACCAAGATACATGTCTACAGAACAATTGTGCTGTGAGATTTCTAGATTAAAATTACTACATCATCTATTAGAGAAACCACATCTTCTCAGATTCTTTTGTAAGGTCAGTTCTCAGCTCTCCACATAATTCACACACACAAGCATCCATTCAGGTTGCCATCTAATGAAAAGACCCTTGTTCCTTTGTTTAGAGTAAGTAAAATTAACAGCAGACATTTTTATTAAAAGTTACGCCAAAGGTACTTCACTAGGCCTGTGCATGGGTTGCTTTTGTTTTCTGAAATGATGCCCCGCTGCAACAGTAGCACTAAAACAACTCACTGCAATGATTACAAGGCTTGGAAATATTTTCACCAAGTCACAAGGTATCACACACTTACATAGGCTGTGAAATCATACAATTGATGAAAGCAGCTATAGCGAGTTTGTTACAGTAGTGACCAGCACACTGTGTCCAACTTTAGTTGTAATGAATGTCATCAAGCTTTGGCTAAAAGGTTGCTGTTGTCATTGTTGTGTATAGCTGAATGATTCCATTTGAACACTTCATTTTGCAAGAAAACACTGTACAGTTATTAGGTATACATTTGAGCAAAGACACATTATTCTAAAGGTTTAACAGCTAGAGAGTAAGGAAATGGACAGCAGGGGCGATCGTCACTCTGCCACATAAAATGAATCATTTTAGATTTCATATAATCATAAAATGCAGATTCATTTACTTCCATCTCAGTTTGCTTAATGATGGTGATAAACATGTTACATTTTTTTATTTTTACCTGGAGCACTTCCCATTTCTCAGACTCTCCACACACATTTGCCACTCACTGAGTGTTGTCAAAAGAACTACAAAATGACACATTTAATGGCTATTTTGGAAATAAACAATCAGTCATTTGGACTTTTTTTTACATTTTTGCTTATAGAAAGGTCTATATGCAACATGTACATGAAGCTTGTAGAAAGTCAAGGTGTGAGGATTTGTTATATTTATGGTGTAAGACATGTTAAAGTGTAAATGACAGTAAAATATCTAATTAAAAATGTCAGTAGCCCCTTATCCCATAAATGAAGATATATTGTTTTTAAAACCTGAATTCACAGTACAAAAATATAATATCCCTTCACTAACTGGATATCACGATGTCTATGGTAAACAGCAGAGTTATGATAGTCTTTGATAATCCTTTCAAATCATGAGTCCTTTCTATGACCTTGCAAAACTATTTGGCACTTTGGCACACTATGTACTCACGCACAAACAAAATAATGCAACTACTGAAACATCTATATTAGGATGTACGTCAGTACTTTCAGGGGAGGACGTTTTTTTTTTTTTTCTGGAACATCTAATTTCTGTGTGATTATGTTGACTGGCATTGTTTGGGGAGGATGACATTTACACAGTTTCGCCATGATGATCAGTTACACAGCTTCTGCAGAAGTTTCGGTTGACACAGACATCGTTACTTTGGCTATTTTCACAGTGGTCTTTACGCAGCTCTCTGCAGCCCTGTTGGCAGAAATGTTGGCATTTCTGTTCTGGCAGTCTGACTCGAGGCTATTGTCCAGCTGCAGGGCACTGCTCCTGCAGGCATTGCAGGAGTGGACAAAGGCGTGCCGCAGATCCTGGCTCCTCAAGGCGTAGATGACTGGGTTGACGGTGGAGTTGAGCAGACAGAGCATGCAGCAGAACGCAAATACTGTCTTGATGTCATTGTCCATCTTCCAGAAGAGGTCATAGACCATGATGACAAGCACTGGGCCCCAGCAAAGGACCAGCACCACCAGGATAAGCACCAGGGTCTTGGCTAGACGGATGTCCATGCGTGCCTGGTCAGGACGTGTGGTCTGCACTTTAGTGCCATCTGCTGAGTAAACAACAAGGCTCTTCTGGGAGGCCCGGCTCAGCATACGCACAGCATGGTGGTGTGCCTTCCACAGGATGTATATGTAGGCGTAGATAATGAAAAGAACGAGGACACTTGTTACACCTATCCAGAACATCAAGTAATTCTCATCAATCAGAGGGAATATATCTGAGCAAACAGACTTGAGACGCTTACAATTCCAGCCCAGGAGAGGTAGCACTGCAATTATGATGGAGATGGTCCACATCATACAAAAGGCTATGACAGCCTTGGTCCGTGTCACAATGCGTCTATAGGCAAGTGGCCGGTGTATGGAGATGTAGCGGTCAATAGCCGTGAGGAACAGACTCCCCACAGATGCCGTGAATGATGCTGTGACTCCGCCCAACTTGAAGAGGAAAACATTAGGGGTGTCCTTCCTGTGGAAAACATGGAAGTCCACAAAGCTGTAGACAAATATGACGCTGCCCAGCAGGTCAGCCACAGCCAGACTGCCGATGAAGTGGTAGGACGGCCGGGAGCGGAGGGTGCGGGACTGCAGGATGACCCAGAGCACCACCAGGTTCTCCAGCACCGTGAAGGTACCCAGAGTCAGACATACAACAGCCACAGCTAGCTGTTGGCTGGGGTTCAGGACCATGAAGCACTCCATGTCCATAAAGTTCTCCCCACATTGTATATTGTTAGTCTCATCTCTGAATGTGCTCCTGTTGCCAAACAAGTCTGTGGCATTGGTGGGGTATAAGGGAATGCCCTTGAAGATGAGCTCCTCCTCTGCAGGTACCTTGTTCGGGAAGGAGTCGCTGCGGAAAGCAGATAAGGGCTTCTGCAGAGAGAAGCTGCCCTTGAAGTCTACATCACTGGTGGGGTCATCATAGTTAGCATCATTGGAGCCCAGATATTGTAAACCAGATGTAATAGTTCGGAAGGTGGTGTCCGCCACACCATCCAGCACAGATTTCATGGCTGTGTCTCAGGGTAATACTGCAGTGTAAGATGCCTGGACAACCTACAAATTAATGAAACACATTTCAGACATTCCTTTAAAACTGCCCCCCCCCTCCCCATTTAACGCAACGTATAATTTTATAGCATATGTCCTGCAAGGCAATAATACTACTGATATAAAAATGCCTTTAACGTGAAATAACCTTCACATAATGCAAATTTTCATTGTATATGTCAACAAATTCACAATTTTTGATACTTTATCCAGTGTCAGAGTTGTTTCATACATTCTGCTGACTTCCCAGACTGGGCATAAACCACATCTAGTCTTTAATGGTATATGTTCTTATTTGAAATACTGCTTCATACACTTTCTACATATCAAATACTTGTGAAAATTATTCATCAGTTGGGCTTACTTTTCAGTAACAGGAAACCTACACATAACAAGAAACATGATTCTGGAAATAAAAACATCATTTATAAATAAAAGATGTAGTTCTACACCTGCTGGAACAACAAATACATAGGCTCATAATCAGTATACAGTACATGTATCCTCACATTTCGGTAGTCTAATTCACTGTAAATATAAAAGCAGACCAACTGATTTGACATAATTTAGATATAGGCCTAATTTAAAAGGTATTTTAATATTAGGTTATTTAGAAAGTCTGGTTAACCTGTGCAAGATTTAACGTTAATCTGGTGCCAGGCGCGCAGAAGCATTCAGAAATCTGCACATTATAAAAAGACGAAATCACGGATACCTCCATGCTAAAACAAACAGCACACAACATTTAAAGTAGCCTGCTAATATAAACAGAAAACCAAATTCTTAATTAAACATTTTTAAGAGAAAAAGTGGTTTTTACCTTACATAATTTTTTCCAAGTGCGCAGACTCGCCCTTTGTCACCGCGCGTTAATCCAAGCCAAGTCCAACCAACACAGATCTTACATAAAAGGAGAGACAATCGGTGTGTATGTCTTAGAAGGAATCTACCATCGTTATTATATTTAATTACTTAGTTGTCTGTATGTAACATAAGTTTTTCAAATGCGTGCAGAAGTGTCTTGTCGTTCTTGGAGCGCGCGTCTGCGTTTTGGATACAGGTTTCTGCTGTTGCCGCTGTCGCCAGTGTCTCCCCAGTCTTTTTTTCTCTGTCTTCACACTTATGAAGCGTCGCTCCTACAAGCACAGTCACGTGTTTCGATATAGCTTTATCTGCCCAACCCATGAAGCTGTCAAGTACGGTGCATGGGAACAAAGCGGACGACAGTGGCGGTGGAGGCTCATAGAAAAGACTCGATTCACCAAGCTCCTCTTAGCAGATTGTTCGGAAAAAGAAGCAGCACCAACGCGGAACAAAGCACAAAGAAACTAGATGGAGAGCAGCGTAGAATGTCACTTTTATCTTCCCAATTCATGACGCGATTGTGGACACACTATCTGCATTTTGCTGAAACAAACAAACAAAAAAATCTTGATATGAAGGTAACTTTGTACTGTATGGCTTTCCTGTCGCATTCAAAGGCAGATAGAGATTGCATACTTCATTGGTAGTCCGTGCACGTTTGTTTATTGTGTGAATAATTAAGGGAAATTTAAATTCCAATAGAACAGGCAGCAAACTTCACCGTTTTGATGCTGGCTGATCTGCAGATGTTGCACCCTGCCACGCCTTCTTACCCCTTTAATAACTCTTTTTACTATCAAACTCTCCGGATATTTTCCCACCCATACCAACCATTTTGAATACTTAAATGTGAGTCACAGAAGAAAACGCATAAGAAGTACAAGTACTTCCAAATAGTTCACTTCCAGACTTAAAAATAAAGTGTGACAACACAAGGTGATTCATCCCCGTTTTATTATGCTTGTGCACACTAAACATTCCCCCGGATGTCCCCTCTTTTCAGGATGAACAAGTTACTTATCTGCACATTCAATCAGATTTCAAACCAGCAAATTAACAAGTCAGATCCTGCCATGAATCACAATAACAAAGATATTCCATTTGCTTAATAAAAACAGATTCAACTCACTGATTATGAATTATCTAATTTAACTTTTTAATTTGGCCATATCCCTGCAGACCTTTTAGTGGCGTTGATGCCTTCACAGTGGCAGACTCGTGGTGCAGGGGTTGAGCGGTTGCAGTGTATTAGATAAAATCAGAATGGTGCTGTGTTTTGGGCCACTGGCAGCTTCAGCAGACAGCAAATGGAAACCTTGTACCACTCTGTCGTGATCATAGGTGTAATCACTATTATTGCTCAGTCGTGGCTGCTGTCGTTGTTTGAAACAAACAAGATGTTCAGCTTCACAAACTGAGAAGACATTTATGGTGAGGAAATGGCACATGTGACTAATAAACATAGATTTAGTTTTAGGCAAATTTTTCTGCAAATGTATTTCTCTATCTTTTTCATTTTTTGGCAGATTTGCTCGCTGGCACGTTGTCAGTGTAAGCAGCTGTGTTACATGAAAATCTCCTTCAAGATGATTCTCAGGAATCTTTAGGCAACCTGAGAAAGAACATATTATTCACAGTCATGATCTGCTGGGCTAGATACAGATAAAAACTGAGCTCCACAGACCTGAGAGCAGCCCAGAATAAAAATCATCAACTGTTGATAACTGATTTGCTCTAACAGCCTAACTGGCAGATAAATGCCTTGTTCTAGGAAACATCCAAGCAGCGAGAGGAGAGAAACACTGGTTCACTTCTCTGCTCAGGGTTTTGCACAGACACTGGAAGTAATGAGCTTCCAGTGTCCAGACTGCCTCTTAAACCCTGAGAGGAAAACGTCACCCTCAGATGCGCTTTCATTGTTCGAGACCATCCATCTGCCACATCTCACGGCATTCTGGGAGTTATGTATTGATCGTGTGTTGTAGCTAAATTTTTCACTGTTTACCTTTAACATTTTGAGTCAAGGTCTGGGTTTTATGATGGATTTCTCTGTGTTGTTGTCTAGTATTGATGTTTTAAACCACTTAAAACAATGTAGTAATTCATTAGCTAGGATGTTTGGATACTTAGTGGTGGAAAGTAACTAAGTACATTTACTCAAGTACTGCACTGAAGTACAGTTTTGAGGTATCTGTCCTTTACTTGAGTATTTTCGTTTTCTGCTGCTTCACACTTCGATTTTCTACTCTAGAGGCAAATATTGTACTTTTTATGACAGTACATTTATTTGATAACTTTAGCTACTAGTTACTTTTCAGGATCTGATTAATGGAACAAAATACAATATAGTCTTAAGGCCTCATTGAGCCCTATTGGGAAATTCACAAGCTAGCTATCCATCAGTACTTCACTGGTTTTGATAGAATGCAAACATGAACCTACTACTGTAGGTGGTGCTTTGAGCTGAAAGCTAATATCAGCATGTTAACATGCTCCCAGTGTTTACCATGTTCACCATCATAATTTAATGTATTAGCATGGGGACATTTACTAATTAAAAAGATCCGCTCAGGCTGCAGGGACTGTAATTAGCTTTGCAGATATTCTGCCATAAATCAAACTATTTGACAAATCAAAATATTGACCTGTTGATGGTACTAGAAGGTCAGCGGTCCCTACATATTAATAGTTTTCTATGAGGCAGACACGGATGTCTGTATAACTTCCCCCTAGTTTATCAAGTAAATATTGAGATTTCACTGGATAAGGTAATATTTTTTCCTGCTTTGGATACAGAATTAAAAAATCATGGGATCACCAAAGGTATTAGGAATGTTTGTACAAAATTTCATGGAAATCCATTTAATAGTTGTTACTGCATACCTCAGCTTGGGCAAAGTGGTTGGGCAAAGGACACATCACAACAGCAACAGTTTTAACACCTACAGTGTGTACACATTTCTTATGAGCTTCCTTAAGCATGATTTATTGTTTTTGACAGCATGTTGAAGGGTTTTCTCACATCTGCGTTTAATTTATGCACAATTAAGTATTTATAACCATTTTGTTGAGAACCCACAGCAGCTCAATGTGTCTCAGTGAGACTCTGCAGCCATATAAATGCAGTCCTCCTGATTACCCCTGCGCAAATTAATTGACTCTTTAATGACTGCTTAGACATGCAACACTATAAAAATTAAAGTACATATTGCATAAAACAGCTGAGAGCAAACACCTAATAGAGCAAATACTAAATGTTCCAATAAAAATGTCTGATGTTTGAAATTCATCCGCTCATTATTCTGATCCCAGTAACTGAGACTTTGTAATATCCACCACATGGGGAGTTTGCCAAACTGACTGGTCTGTGACAGTTTTCTCTGACTTGGTTGGCATGCTAACCTGTGAGTGAGCAGTGAGTGACGGCTCTAGCAAAGCTCATGGCCATCTGTGTTTCAGTTGTGGTACATAACTTTTTGTCCTCCAGTGACTCACTTTGAGCTCACAAATTAAGGAAAAAAAAGCCCGGGGGGGAAACTTCAGTAGAGGAAAGAATAGTGATCTGATACCAGTTCTGTTGACCATTCAGTGCCAAACTCCCCAGTTTAGGACTTATGAAGATTTACATTATGCTCCATTAAATTGAAACAGACTTCATGTAGAAGTTGGTTGTTACTCCATACTGACACCTAGTAACTGTTGTCTAGCTTGTTAGCTTGATATATGACCCAGCATCAAAGAGGTAGTATGGAACATGCAGTGTTGAAGACTGGTGAACTAATCAAAACTAGTAGTTTTACTGATTTTGCAGTATCTAGTTCAACTACATTCATATTTGCATAGTGATTCAACTAGTTAGCTACAGTTAACTACAAAACTCCAAACAATTTTGGGCCATTAAAGAAAAGGAAATTATTATTATTATTATTATTATTTTACCATGCTGCGTGTGAGCAGCTTCTGAGCGCGGGCACAGACATTTTCAGAGCCAAACAAAGCCACCTGTAGAATAAGAACTTAAAGAGCCGGCTCGTGTTGTACAAACAAGAGGTTCTGGTCTGACAAGTGAACAGATAGGCCCATTATTTAGACCAGTGTTTGAGTTGTTCTTTGAGTTGAAGACTGTTGTAGTTGTTAATATTGTACAAGTTAGACATTACAAAACTGACAAGCAAAACAACAGGCTCATTTTTCAGACCTGTATTAAGTCAGTCTAAAAAGGTGCAATTTAAATATTTCTTCTTTACTGTTTTAGTTGCAGTCAGATTAAAAAAAATAAAAAAAACTCATGAAAAGCCCAGACAAGATTGTTGTATTTAGGACAGGTGACTTTTTTGTATTATATTTTCTTATAATTTTGTGTCACATTTACAGTATATTGTATTATATTTTCTTATAATAATTAAATTTCTCCATAGGGTAGCTTTGCTGTAGTTCAACGTCTTCCAGTGGGACGTTAAGTGGCAGCTTGCAAAGTAGCTTCCCCAACACCGGGGCCATGGTTGTCACATCTGATCAAAAAGTTGCTAAATAGTGATGCAGAATGGGAATACTTTAAAATACATTTCACTAAAAACAAATGATACCTAACTGCTGTGTGTTGGTGCTGGGTAGCTGAACTAGCCAACTGACAGAATCCACGTTATACGACAGGTTTAGAGCGAAGAATAAAAGAAGAAATATGGAACGTGGTCGACGTACAGTAAATGACATTGATCAAAATGCTGCTTGTGCAAACTGGAAAGACCTTAAATCACATTTCATCAAAAGAAAATATACATCACCTTACACAAAAGTGATAATACTGTCCATCAAATAATGCCAGTTGGTTAGGTTAGGTTAGGTTGGTGGGAATATGCTTTCATGTATTCATATAAGTGATTCATAGTTTTACTCAGTACTAACTAGTTCGTGTTCTTGGGAAGGACTTTGCATACAAACTTACTGGGGGGTGTATGTACCAATAGCCAGTGGGCCCAGGTCCAGGAGTGCCAGAAGTCAAACCCATGAAGCGTTAAGTGTGTCTTTGGCTCAGATGGTTCGCATTACACCGATGCTGGATGAGAGGCAGATAGGAGTTCATGCAGGACTCATAATGCACTTTGCACCCGCCTGATATCGTATCTCCTTCCTGCAGGTTGCTCCACACTGAGGGAGGAGCTGTGGTCGGCAGAATCCAAGCTTGGATTTCCTGCATATCACCCTAATGCATCAGTAACAACCTCATCAATATGAGAGGACAACAAAGGTTGAGTAAACAAAACCCGTCTTGGATTCCTGCACTTCTCTAGGCTTCATTTCCCACTGGGATCTGAGTCTTGAAATTTGATTTAGAAACACAAGAGTTCATGCTTTTACTATGTAGGCTATACCAGTAATTAAGGTTATCACATGGCCTGCATGAATCAACTCCATCTGAAAATAGGCCACATATTGTAAGCAGATACTTTTGTCTTTTGCTTAATATAGAGCTAATTTTTCACATGTGGCATTTGCTCATAATTATGTGTGAAATGTTGAGAAGACTATAGAGACAAATGAGATGTTGTGTGGTGCCTCCATAAATAGACTCAAACCAGCCATAAAGTCTGTGTGTTAGTGTTACAGAGCTGCAGCTGCACCACTGGTGGATGAT